ACCATGTTTTCTTCTAGTTCCATCCATTTGGCTGCAAATTTCAAGATTTCATTGTTTTTGCATATCTTTTGTTATTGAGCTACACCTAGAAGCGTTTTAATGTTTTAAGATGAAAAAGTGATATGCTGGCATCGTAATTTGCATCATGCAAAGAGCTTTATTGTATATTGTTTTTACTAAAAATCTTATGGAAGAAACAAGGAAATTATTGTTATGTCCATGGTGATAATTAGAAAAAGAATTCTTGCTTTTTCATAACTTTTGAAAATTATTATTACAATATATGCAATCTATATTTTTGATAATGCTTTTATCAAAACCAAATGGTTTTATCAAACCAAATATCTAGTTCAAAGCAAATAACACATGAATTATTATATTTCATCTTTTTAAAAAATATAGTATGAAATATGAAAATGTATAAATTTACCTTAAAAATTTTTATAATGATGAATAAAAATATATATCATATATAATTTATAAGACTAAATATGTCATGTTATCTAACTTCTAAAATTTTATCATTTGTGAGGTTTTAAATTTTACCATTTGTTTAATGTTTCATCTAAGGAAGTTGTGAATAAATAGACATTATTCAGCTTTAAGAGAATGTTAATAACTATCAAAAGCCATCATCTCTAATTGATTAAATAGTCATGAGATTGTAAGGGTTTGCCTTAAGAAAACCTGATCCTCAGACTTGTCCACTGAGTCAGGATGCATGATAGTCTCAGAAGTTTCTGGAAGTACATCTATCCATCTCTGGCTCTTGGAATATAGATTTGGTAATATCCTGTTATTTCTGCAAGACTCTTGATGACTCTGTGGTCTTGATGGCTTATTTGAAGCATTCTGTAAAAGCAGCAGCAATCATACTTAATGCTAACTAAGTCACTCCTCAATACCAGGCAGTAATCATATTACATATGTGTACATATTAATTCCTCACAGGAATCTTACAAAATAGTATTAGTATTAACAAATTAGTTAGTGTGGAACTCTTTTTTCTATATGAGAAAAAATTAATTTGTAGAATCTAAAATGCCATTTTTCAGAAAAAATGTTACAAACAACTTTCCTGGACATACTGCCTAATTAGTTATCAGGAATTAGGCATGAACCTTAGGGTATCTGGTATGGTCTCAAATATTGTAGGTGATGGCAGTAAGAACACTCTTGACTTATCATCCAGGAAAAACAGGGATTCCAAAATGAGCTGGCACTGCTGATATATTAATTAAAGAATTATAGACTGACAGACCTTAGAGTCCCATGATCAACTTTTCTTTACTCTTGACAACATTATAGACACTGTGCAGAACCTCAGTAAGCATCTTAATTATTCTTACTTATAATCAAAATTTTGTGAAAGAAAGAAGAGAATAGTCATTATTACATCTCTCTTGAGAATGATTTTTAGGAATTATTACCACACACTTACCTTTTGAAAAAGTAGTGAATTAAGTTAAATCCACTTGATAGTTGTTTCCCTCAGTTCTATCTCACTTGGAGATTTCCTATGTAGGGTGGGGCTGGAGTCTTCAGGTAGGGGTGTTGCTAGCTTGCTCCATCCCTTCTCTCTATTGCACGTTGTTTTTCACTGATGTAAGGCCACCCACTGCATACTTACCATGAGGCAGAGGGCCTGCTCTGAATACTCAGTGTGTATTGTAGATGATAGCAGGTTCTGAAACAGGTTCTGAAAGAATTTATCTATGAATTTGGTGTTACTTCCTATCTCTGTTTTTGTTGTTGACATAATATTTTCTGCTACTCATTCTTATTTTCTTGAATATGTTTTCCCCTTTTGATTTTCTGTTAGTACATCATCATTTCATTTGGTCCTTTTCTTCCTTTCTCTTGTGTTTTTTTTTTTCTTTCTAGTTTAACTCTGCCTTGTAGACTAGACTGTAGTTTAATCTGTGTAACCTAAGACTCTTAATTCTGATCCTACAAGTCTTCAGATAATTAGCACTTTCCCAACTTCTGTTAATTTTGTGGAAACCTTTATCTCCATCAATATCACTCATTCTCCTCACTTTGTGAGACTCTTCTATTGTCACCACATTTTAATTTGTGTAACATTGGTTTTGGTTACATGACCTCAACTTTGGAAAACTGCCTAAAGTCAGGCTCCAGATGACATGTAATCATCAATAAGCTCTTACAAATGGCACACAATTAAGAGAACTAGCTCATGACTTCTCAAACAATAGTTTTATAATAATTTTTATTGAGACATAAACATCATATGTAATTTTATTCAGCCATTTAAAGTGTACCATCAGATGCTTTTAGTGAGTTAACTATATAAACTGTGCATTCGTTATTTATCAACTATTTAAGAATGTTTTCGTCATCCAAACAGAAAATCTATAAGCATTGGTCTTTATTTCTCTCTCCTCCCTCATTTCCTTTCTTCATAATTTTCTCCTGCTATAGGAAATTACTTATCTACTTTCTAGTTATCTGCTCAATGTTTCCATTTAAACATATTCTTCTTATGTAACTGTAGTTATGCATGCATTGGCCATTTCTCAATTCTTGCTAGTCACTCAAGTGTCGGATAACCACTATTCTACTCTCTGGAAGGTCAACATTTTATGTCTCATATATGAGATCATGTGGTATTTATAGAGTGTTTAGCTTAATTTCAGCTAAATTGAAAGGCTATTAACATTGTGAAAGTTTCCACCTTTTATGGTGGTATAGTATTCTATTATGAATATGCACATTTTCATATTCACTTATTCATTAATGGTGACTTACATTGATTACGTATTTTAGCTGCTGTGACTAGTGCTGTAATAAACACAGGTGTGCCGATAACGCTTTGCCTGCAGTATTTTTTACGTGCATGTAGTGGAATGTAAAAATCTATAAAGCCTGTTTTGTCTAGAATGTAGTTTAAGTATGTTTTCCTGATAATTTTTCATCTGGACAATCTGTAAATCTGTCCACCACAGAAGATGAAATGCTGAAGTCTCCTATCGTTATTTAATATGACCTAACTCTTCCTTCATATCCATTAGCATTTGCTTTTTGCTTCCAGGTCTCAGGTTTGGGAGAATATATATATATATCTTTGTGGTATCTTTTTTACAGTTTTTGGTGCTAAGATCTACTTTATCTGATGAAAAAACAGCCCCTCTTCCTGTTTATTGGTGTCCATTTGCATGGTATATTTTTCTCTTTCCTTTTGCTTTCAGATGACATATTTCTTTACAGGAAAAGTATGTTTCTTTACATTCCAAATGGTTGAGTCTTGGTTTGTTTTTAAATCTAGGCACCTACTGTAATGATAACTTTCCACCAACCTGCTCAAGCCCCGCCGCCACATGGGGGCCCCAAATAACACACAGAGTCTTATATTAATTGCAACACTGCTGGCCAATGACTAGGATTTCTTATCTGCTATCTCTGTCTTAAGTATCAACCATAATTATTAATCTATATATTTTATAAAGACTTATCAAGGACGCCAGAGGAGTGTGTCCTGTCTTCCTGGCAATCACATGGTGACTCTGTCCCTTTCCTACATTTCCCAGAATCCTCCTTCTCTCCTAGTCCCGCCTAACTTGCTCCCCTATTGGCCAACAGTGCTTTATTTATCAACCAATAAGACAAACATATATGCAGAAGGATCTCCTCCATCAACCTACTGTGTGTCTTTTAATTGCAGAATTTAACCCATTTATATCCAAAGCAATTGGATTGACAAAGAAATACCACTGTCATTTTGTCCATTATTCTGAATTGGTTTATGCTTGCTTACGACATTTTTTTGTAGTTTCATGATTTTTCCTTGAGTATTATGTTTTTACTCATTGCTTTTCTGTTTTTAGTATATCATCATTATAGGCTTTTGTCCTGTGGTTACTATGGTACTTACAAAAACATGTAGTTACAACAGACATTTTAACCTGAGAGCAATTTAACTGTGGTCATAAAAATATTCCACACTTTCATTCTACTGCTTTTCCCACATTAAATTTTTGAAGTTGTGTATAATATATAACTCTTTATATTGTATATTCCTTAATGAATTGTTGTAGTTATGATTACTTTTTTTTTTCTTTTTGGGATACGAGTGTGCATATGCCCACACATACACATACATGTGTTTGCAGGTGCTCTTGTATGCCATATGGAGGCCATGGTATGCTCTCAGGTGCTGTCCATTTTCTTCTTTTCTGAGACAGAATCTCTCACTGGGACCAGTGCCTCACTCATGCTGGCTGGCCAATAAGGTCCAGAGATTCCCCTGCCTTTGCTCTCCAGGTGAAGGATTAAAAGTGGAAGCCACCATGATTGATTCATTGTATGTGTGCTGGGGTTGGACATCATGCACACTCATGCTTGTGTGACCATCCTTTTTTTAAAAAATAATTTTGTTTTTAAATTTCATAGTATCATACAATATTAGGATTCTAAGTTGTATTCAGTGCTTATATTTACCACTCTCCCTAGCATTCTTTACAAGTTCGCTCAGTTGTGTGTCTGAGAAGGCCTGAAAACTAATGGCATCTTTTCCGACTTCAGTGTTCTTGGTTGGCAGGGTTCCATTCGGTACTCTGAGGGTGTAATCCCACCTGTGATGCCCTGTAATGTTTCTGCTGAAATGTTTGATATCCAGGCAGTTCCTCAAATGCCATTTTCTTCTTTAGGTTGCAGCTTTCAGAATCCGCTCTTGGAGGCTGAACATTTATAGTTTGATTAGAATATGCTTTTGGTGATTTTATTTTGATTTTACGTGACTGGTGTCCTTTGACTTTTTGAACCCTAATATTTATATCTTTCTGCAGGTTTGGAAAGTGTCATGCTGTTACTTCTATAAGTAAGCTTTCTATTCCTGTCTCTCATCCCTTTTGAATGCTAACAACTTGTACTTTTGCTCTTTAGATGCTGTACTATAAATCATTTAAGCTTTCATTTCTTTTCATTCTTTTTTTTCTTTTTCTCTTCTGAATGGAAAATTTCAATGTCTGGGTTGCCAACAGCCGGCTCATCCAGAATCCCAGGCTAGAATTAGTAAAGATCTAGTGCCACCAAAGAACGCCAGCCAAAGTTCAAAGAGGCCACCGTCTCATCAAATGCGCAGGCATCAGCATAAGGACACCTGGGTGATGAAAAACCAGAGAAACACAGCACCATCGAAAGACACCAAGAATGCTCTAGAAATGGATGAAGATGAAAAGGAAATCTATGAAATGACGGACAAAGAATTCAGAATTATCCTTTTAAAGAAGTTCAGGGAACTACAAGACAATACAGACAGAAAACTAAGCGAAATTCAGGAAATAATCAACAAACAACATGAGATGTTTGATAGAGAAATAAAAGTTAACCATTTCAAAATAAAAATTCTAGAGATAAAGAATACAATAAGTGAATTGGCAAATTCAACAACAGGTTTCAACAGAAGACTGGATAGGGCTGAAGGAAGAATCAATGAGCTCGAAGATTGGACATACGATTCTAGACTTTAAGAGTTGTAAGAGCAGAGCCAGAAAGCCTCTGGTGCCTTGCTCATGCTGGAAGAGTTTCTGATATATTTCAAAATGTGTACAACAGTACTATAAGCATTTAGTCTATAAAATTGCATACTTATATAAATATGCCAGTGCCTGAGTTATTATTGCCTAGAGGACATTTACAAAGTTATGGACTAAATAAAATATCACACAGAAAATTTTAATTAAGAGAAGTTTATTTATATGCACAAACACACTAATGATTTGAGGTCTCTTTTCTCGTTTATTTTCCCAATAACGATTATTTCAGCTAACTCCTGATACATTACGCCTTATAACATTCCCTTGGGAGAGAAATATATTATAATTTTTCTTGTAATGTTCCTACAAATTTAGTAAACAATAGCAGTATTTAATATCTTGTAGATTTCTAAGCAAGAAGTTGGGATTGTGAAAAAGTTAAGTTGGTCTTTTCCTCTTTTATAAAATTCATGGTCTGTAACATTTCTCTTTCTTCCTCCCCTTTCTTTCTTCCTTTCTTTCTTTCTTTCTTTCTTTCTTTCTTTCTTTCTTTCTTTCTTTCTTTCCTTTCTTTCTTTTTCGAAATAGGGTTTCTCTGTGTGCTCTTGAATGTCCTGGAACTCAATTGATCTGTAGACCAGGCTGGCCTGGAACTCAAGAGATCCACTTGCACCTGCCTCCCAAATGCTGGGATTAAAGGTGTGTGCTACCACTACCCTGCAAGTCTACAGGACTTTCTATATGGAAAGCCTGTAGAAGCTTTGTTGATCTACAAGGGAAATATAATAGTGAAAGCCAGTGTCTTGATTTGCTCCAGATAGTTTTTGGGAAAAGAGAAGGGTCAGATAGACAGTCTGAGCACCAAACTGGTGGGGAAGAAATGATGACCATCTTTGGTAGAATGGTGAGATTACATGGGCTGCAAACCCAGGGGATGTTGAATGGTCTGGAGATTGAAAGGAGTGACTTCATCGGTTAAAAGCAAAGAAAGCAGCATGGAAAGTCCCAGTACCAGACCATGACACCAAGCATCCATTCGTTTTGGCATATTATTGATAGAATGGAACCACATTCATATGACCTCATGGGCATCTAGGGAGTATTTTCCTTTGAAATCTATCAGCCTTGTAGTCATATGGTATCTGGAAGAAGTGATTACCTCTCTTGTAATGAAGGTTGTTCTGAATTCCCTCCAACCTGTTCCAATTAAACGTGTATGTTTGCATTGATCCAAGACTCATGCCTTCCCCTGGACAGAGACCTGTACCTTCGGCACTTATGTCAAACAAGCTGATTACCTAAGAATCAAGGCTTATGACATCTATGCTTAATAAAGGGTGAATAATGACTACTACTCACTTTAATATGTTAGCCTTCTGTTGCTGCTGAAATGAATTTCCATTAGTTTTGTGGCTTATGAAGATACATTACTTTCTAATTACAATGATCGAAAGCCTGAGTGTTACAATATTAAATCTAGATTTTGGAATAGCAATCCCTTTGAAAATCTAAGAATATATTACTATTGTTTTCCAGCTTCCATAGGCTGCCCACATTTCTTTGCTCTTAGCTCTGGACAAGTCTCACTTTTGTTACCATTAGTATGTCTTATCTGACTTTTTGTTCTTCATTGCATATAAAATTTGTGATTGCTCTGGGCTCACTCAGATAATCTAAGACAACATTCCATTATTCTTTGGATCTGGAATGATTCCTCAAAACTCATATGTTAAAGACTAGGTCTCCAGCTGGTGTTGGGAACTGGAAGTGGTAGAAATAATAAGACCTGGGACCTTATTATTATAGTAGGTCACTGGGAAGTGCTTTATGGATTTACTTTTTGCCCCGACACCTCCATGTTCTTTTCTTCTACTTCCTGTTCATTATCAGGTAAATTACTTGCTCTACTGCATTCTCTCTGACATGATGCTTCATCTCACTACCAGCTGAGAAGGTACAAAGCCAACTGATGATGGATTGAAACCTCTGAAAACATGGGGCAAATTAAATTTTTCCTTCTTAAGTTGTCTTTTCAGTGTTTGTCTGAGTATCAGAAAGATTACTTACAGGTAAACCAGGACTGATAAGTGGAGGCATTGCTGTGACCTTCTCAGTGATGTGGTTCAAAAGCACTGGAGTTGCTTTGCAGCAAGATCTGGAAAGGTTTGGAAATGTGGACAAGAGAAGCCCAAGAATGTTGTGAGTGCAGCTTAATGGGAGATGGTGGGGAGCTTGTAAGACCAAGGTGCTGATAGGAATACAGGTAGTAAAGATGGTGCTCATGAAGTTGGAGATGGGAAAAAAGATCCTATTGGGAATTGGACTAGAACATTCATGGTACATTGTAAAGAGATGTTCTATATTTAGGCCAGGCCCAGAGACTTTGTGTCTAGCCATATTTAAAGGTAACTGACTACTTAATCTGGTGGAGAAAATGTCAGTGCATTCAGGTAATGTCATGATTATGCTTGGCTGCATAGAGCCCGATTTTCAGTGAGAATGAAGATGAAAGAGCCGAGCAGAAATACTTGAAATACTTAAAAGTTTGTCAAGAAAATTTAAGTTGGGCTTGAGAAGGTGTGGTTGCTGAAAAGGTTAGTACCATTAGAAAGAAATCAAAAACTTGGAGGAATAGGTCAATAGGGGCTTGACTTTTTATACATTTTGACTGCATCCATTCTTGTCTTTCCCTTCATTGCCCTGCCACCATGAGTTAAGTCATTTCACACTGTCACATGCTCCTTCTTATGCTGTTGTCTTCAACAGGAATCCAGAAGCAACTAACACAAGTAATGCTGACAAAACCCCCAGAAACCATGAGCCAAAATAAGCCTGCCCCTTCTCCTATAAGCTGTTTTTCTATTGTATTTTGTTGTAGCAATCAAGAGTTACTATACCAGCATGTCTGGATCTGTAGTGTCTACAGTCCTTTTGTCATATAAAAATATATTTACAGGTCATAAGGATTATGATATGGACATTTTGTCACTTATTATTCTGTCTCCTCTTCCTGATATTAATGTAATTTTGCCAAAGGATATTAAGGTTGTATAATAGACTAAAGTCTTATCCCATGCTATTTTGTTTCTATATAGAGGTATTGTATTATCATATATGTGTCATGGCTACTTGAGAGCAGAATACAAATCTAACCTTTTGATACAGGTGTTGGCCAATATGATAGTAACAGATATGGAACACTTGGAGGCTCAAAGTAAACATGCATGATCACACTCATACTTTCTACATTGTTTCCAATATCCTGAGATGGATATATTTGAAAAACCCAGTTGCCTCAGAAGCATGAGAGAGAGAGAGACAAAGTCCTAAATTCAACTGATAGCTTAAAGCCAACCCTGTATGGCTCAGTCTTGGTCAGTCAAATTCCCAGTAATCTTCAGACTTATGAGTTAAATTAATAGTATTTGTGAACTACGAGAAAAAATGTGGAAGGAAGAGAAAGACAGATGACATAATAGTAGCTTCGGCAAAGTCCTCATCAGGCCCAGGGAATTCCACAGTACCCCTTATTAAGTTCCTTAACAATGACTCTTACACATTGCTCTTGCCATGGCAGAATTTTTGTTCAGAATAAGAGTCACCAGCACTTGAAGGTTTATGTATCACTGCTGTTGCTATGTTAAATGTCATGTGTTGGAGATGCAGTTTTTCCATGTGGTAGTGTTGGAAGATTGGGTATTGAGAGTTGTTTGAGTCATGGGATGGAGTCCTCATGAATGGATAAATTCTTTTAGTGTAGAAATTGGTTAGTTCTCACAGGAGTTTGCCATAATTTCTTCTTTCATACATATTTAATCTTTCCTTCCCACTTCCACCAAGTTATGCTGCACCATGATATCTCAACAGATATGGCCACATAATCTTGAACTTTCCAGAAACATGCGCCTACAAATAAAATTTCTTCTTTCACAAATTACTCAATTTCATTAATTTACAGTAGCAACAGGTAGTAGAATATGAGAGGAAATTGGTTCCAAGGAAGTCAGTTGTTTTTATATAAAGAACTGAAATGTAAAATAGTTTTATAACTGGGTAAGAGGTAAGGGCTAGAACTATTCTGAAATCCATGCATTGAAAGATGCATTCTAGTGGGGGCTGGTTTGGTCATGGAAGTGGAACCTTCATAATGAACTACTTATATCCTCACAGTAGTAGTCAGCCATAACAGTAGTTGGGCCTTATTTCTCCCCAAGCTTATGTGTTCTCTCTTGTATTTTCTCTCATACTATGAAGCACCGTGAAATTCTTATTAGATTCAATTGCCCAGTCTTGGACTTCATAGCTTCTAGAACCACAGGCTCAAACAAATTTCTTTCTGTTATGAATCACTTAGTTCCAGGTGTTCTGACTATTTAGACAGTGTAGCATAAGAGGTTCCTAATTGTGCAGTCTGAGGATGTTAACTGTGGTTTCTCGGACGCACATAGCTTGTTTTCATGACAAGAAGACTGTTGAATCAGTTGAGGCAATAGTCAGTTCTAGCACTGTGTGAGTGGGGATCTGAAACTCAAGCAGCTGCCTTTGCAATCCAAAGAAAGTGGTAGAAGTCTTCGGGCTGGAGGTTCACCTCTTTGAATTTCTGTCAGGCCTATTATTACAGTCATGTGTTAGTTTCCAATTAAAAGAAATATTCGACACTTATGATGCGGCTACCTTATGTAAACAAACTTTCCTATACTAAGCATTCCACATCCCTTTCTAACTACACTGAAAAGTTCAAAAATGGAAATTTGGGACACAGTTTTATAGATTATCTTAATTTAACCTCAGCTTTTCTATTTTCATTGAAAATATATTTTCATATAATATACTCTGATTACAGGTTCCCCTTCCTCATCTTTTCCCAGATCCTTCTCACCCCCTCATCCATCCAACTTCACACCCTCTCTGTCTCTCTCTTTAGAAAACAAAAAGGCAAAAAGTCCCCCCAAACAAATAAGCCAGAATAAAACAAAACAGAGAAAAACACTAAAGAAAAATAAAATAAACATATATGTATATATACACAAAGAGACATACATTCACACCAACAAAACTCATTAAAACATAAAATCAGAAACTATGAAAGTTAGAGAAAAATGCCCCAAACAAAGCATTGTGAGACAAAAAAAGACAAAAAAAAAAAACCCAAAAAACAATCAAACAACAAACAAACAAAAAAA